AAGAAGAACGAACTGGGGAGGAGGGTAGAGAAAACAGTGCAACAATGAATGAATGAAAACCCAAAATCTCTGTAAATGTTCATTAAAACTAATAAAATTTAATAATAAGAAACCCCTAACCACATATCCCTTTTAAATAGTTTTCTCCCTCTTCTGTTTCAATGCAGTATAAATATTGAACCCTTCTTTCTCAGTCTACCCCCAACCCTGAAGTCAGTCCTGTTGTACAACAGTGGCACCATGCAGTATTTGTCCCTTTGTGACTGAGATATTTCACTCAGCATAATGTCCTCCAGGCTCACCCATTTTGAATAATATTGCATGAGTTCCTTGTTTTTCAATGCAGCGTAGTATTCCATTGTGCGAATATACCACAGCTTCTCTATCCATTTGTTTGTTGATGGGCACTTAGGTTGTTTCCAACTCCTCGCTATTGAGAACAAAGCTGCGATAAACATGGGTGTGCATGTTTCTACTTGGATGTTGGTTATGGTCTCTTTAGGGTAAATTCCCAGTAGTGGAATTGCTGGGTCAAATGGTATCTCTATCTGCAACTTTTTGAGAAAGTGCCACACTGCCTTCCACAGTGGTTGTACCATTTTACACTCCCACCAACAGTGAATAAGGGTTCCAGTTTCTCTACAACCTCACCAGAATTTGTTGCTTGCTGTTCTGTTAAATTTTGCTACTCTGACTGGGGTGAGATGATATCTCATAGTTGTTTTGATAATTTTTTTTGTCTGTACCATCAAATCGGATCTTACTGGTACAGGAAGAGATTGCCACTCCTTCTCCAGCAGAGCATCTGGTGGATTCAAACTGCATAGCTCTGAGATTACAGTGCAGCTTCTTGTGCTAGGCCACCAGAGCTCCCCGTGTTTTTAAATTTTTTATGGCTTTGATTTTAGCAGCTGAGTGCTTAACCAGCATGAAACCAGGGCTTCCCTAAAATGCTACACCTCTAAAAGAAAATGTGAGGATGGGGAATCTTAGAGACTTTAAACTGGGCACAAAGGTTTCTTCAACGGGACAGAGAAAGCATGAGCTGTGTTGTGTGGAAGGAGAGAAGGTCTGCACTCCCCTCAGCGAAGATGGAAGAGGTCTCTCAGCTCGCATCCGGTTACGTCACTGCCACCCACTCTGTGGTGTCTAACCACACAGTCTGATCTTGGAGAGTTAACAGGGAAGGGGAGGGCGGGAGAGGGGCGTAGAAATGAATAAATAGATAACTGAGGTTGAGTGAGGCAAACAGAGAGGAAAAACCCATAGAGGACTGACTGTTGTTGTAATGCGCTGTCTAGTCTCCTGCGACTCATAGCGACCCTATGTACAACAGCCCTAAACCCTGCTCTATCCTGTGCCAATCTCTCTGTCTCTGACACACCCATCCCAATTACCCCAGTCACTGAATCAATCCACCTCATCGAGGGTCTTCCTCTCCTACAGTGTACCTCCACCCTCCCAAGCATGACATACCTCTCCAAGGACTGATCCCTCCTTGCAACATGCCCAAAGTATGTCAAACCAAGCGTCAGAATCCTTGCCTCCAAGGAGTAGCCTGCCTTCACCCTCTCCAGGATGAACTTGTTTGTTCCCCTAGCAGTCCATGGTATATTCAACACTCTTCTCCAGCACCATAGCTCAAAGGCATCCGTTCTCCTTCTATCCTCCCTAGTCATTGTCCAGCTCTCTGAAGCACGGCAAGTAATGGCAAAGACCATGGCCTTTATCAGGCACACCTTAGTCTCAACTGACACCGTTGCTCCTCAGTATCTTGGAGAGGTCTCTGACAGCAAACTTTCCCAAAGTAATTGGTCTTTTAATTTCCTGACTGCTGGTGCCAAGAGTGTTGATTGTAGAGCCAAGCAAACGAAAGCCAGGTTATAATTAATGAATTACATAGTGTGGTGTCAGGAGCCATTGAGTCAGCGAGGATTCGCAGTAAGCATATAAGCACAGATATGAGCCACGCTTAGTGCCACTCTCCCACCTCTGACACGCGCAAGCCTGTTATTTCAGGCGTTGTGTCCATCCACAACTCAACAGCATCAATTCAACTGTCATTCTTACTCACTGTACAGCTTTCAGATACATAAGAAGCAACTGAAAAAGTCACAGACTGGATCAGGGGCACCTTAGTCTTTAAAGTGACATCCTTGCTCTTTAGCACTTTAGAGATTACATTTCTCATTGGTAATTAATGTCACCCAATAAAATGAATGATGGATATGATTTAGAAACTTTGATTCAACTTAAAAAAGAGCAGGTGTCATAAAAAGAGGGGGGAAGTCAACACTGGAGTTCACCAAAATGAAAAACTGTTCTTCACAAGATATTGTTAGGAAACTGTAACATCCCACTAATTAAAAGATCAGACCTCATGCACTTACTGCAGAGGTTCAAGGACTGCAGCCTTCAATATGGACTGAGGCTCAATGTTAAGAAGACAAAAATTCTCACCACTGGACCAATCTGTAGTATCAGGATGGATGG